TGCGGCAAATACACTTGCGCTGGACTTTAATATACATGTATGTACATATGTATGTATTGCCCAAAAGTCACTTGGAGCGTAAATTCTCGTTATTATTTTTATAATGAGCAAGAGCCATTCCGACTTTGGAACTTTGTAATCAGGTAAAGATAATTGGAAATGTATCTAATCTGTATGGTGCCGCATTACCTTGCACAGGTACACCGAAAATGTAATCAACTTGTGTTGGCAAACAAAGCTAGCGACTATAAACAAGCAACAACAACCGTGCTGTGCGGTGGGTAAACAAGTTTCTTTTGCGCTTTCGATATGGTCAGCGGAGTGGAACGGTATGTGTGTGGATTAATGATCCAAAATTTAATAATTTCGAATGCGTGTACTTGGCGTGTACCTACTTTCATATATATGTATATTAGCAGCAAAGAACTCCGAAATCACGCTGTTCTAAACATTTTAGTCACTGAATTTTATAGAAACTGATAGAAACCATTTTTATCAACTTTGTTCTAATATCATTCTGGTATTTCCTGTATTATTCTAACAAGAATTTATAGCACACTTGCTGATTGGAGCTACTTTTCGCATTTTTCATTGTCACCCAAATTTTTATTTGAGCACTAATTGGAATGGCTTTAAATGTATCCAATATAAAAGGCACAAGTTTGTTGAAACCGGTATGTATATGTATGTATGTGCATATATTGGACAAGGTTTTTTGTTTAAAATTAGCACATCCATGCACAATTTGCAATCAGAAAATGTGTACACGCTTTTAAGTGAACAAGCAGCAACTTTGGCGCACCAACAAATATAGGAGCTCGCACTCCAATACTCGTAATCTATTCCAATCAGAAAAAGTAGAAACATCGAAAATGTCCACAAGCAGCATAATTCGACAGCTTTGCGCTTTGACTTTTTTACGTTTTCACTCACCAAATATTTGTTTATTGAAATCAGACACTTTTCTTAAAATTGCATAATTAACAAAGTCTTTCGGTTACACAATTATCGCAAGATTTAAACAAATCTGTGATGTCCACGCTACGGGCGATTTTTCCATACGACAGCAAACGACGCGGCGAAACGAATGTAAACAATGGAAGCAGAGTTCGAAATTCGAACACAGATGTTTACCGGCAAAAGCTTTACCAGATGCAATAAATTAAAACAAAATCGGTGTTTTAGTGACTGAGATAACGAGAGCGTAAATTCAAATTTGTTTTCAATATGCGATCCTTGATTAATCATAATTACATGTGTCGTAGCATATCATAAAACTTTTTTCTTAGAACGGTCGTCCTACATCGGCTAATTGCAATCTTGAAAGTGGATTTCCGTTTTGAAAAGCTTTACGTAAAAACCAAATGTCAGCGGAAATGCCTGAAGGAACCTTCACAAAATGAATTTTCATTGCCAAAACATACGGGAGAGGCCCATATTTAAATAAATGCTTTCGGAATATACTATTCAAGATCAAATATCGTTTACGAGTTCAATCAGTAAGATGAATGGTATCTGGTTTTTCTATTCTGTTAAACTTCTTGGCAAACTTGTAATACTAAGAGCAAAGTGAAGCCTTTTTATTGAAAACACTTGGCTTTAGAAAAGTAGTTATAAGTTAAAACAGAAGGGCCCTATCTCACGTAGTCGCTGAAGTACACAAAGCCATAACCAACTAAAAATCCAAAGTCCACATCCTTTTATGCATTACACAATTTTTTTAGTTCCGGCTTTTTTACATTAAGGTAACGACATATATGTATACAGTTCATTACTATGCCCTTGTGTAAATTAGACTGCATATATTAAAGCTTTTTAAAAAATCCAAGCATCATTCTTTAATTACCACATACTCGATAAATCTTCCAGTTGATAGAAATTCCTCGTTTGTGTTGCCAATGGCTGTAAAAAAGTTTCTGTCTACTGTTTTAAATGCTAACATTAGAACCTAAAATTGTATTTAAGTGCTCTCTGAAATATGTTCATTATGCAGATATGAAATACCATTCCCAAATCTGCAGTACGATTTTAAATACGACTGTCTTTTCACCCACATTGTAAAACGACATAAGCGAAAATTGCATAAAAGGTTCTTCCTATATACCTTTTATATAGTCGCTCAAGCAAAGTTAAATGCGCTAGCAACAGCTGCCTGATTTCTCGTTTGAGGTTAAGGTGCTCAAAACGTGGTATGCTATTTGTACAAGTGTTTCACCTATTTCCAACATTCGTATAGGTACCACAAAACGTCACATGCCTTATGAACAAACAAAAAAGTCCACCAACCATTTCCAATAATAATTAAGGTATCATATTTTAAGTTTTTATCACTTCTAGTAAATATTCAAAGATTTCTCTTTATTCCAATTAATTTACATTAAATATGTAAATTTTCCGAAACGCCTCCAAATACTTGGCAGCCAAATCTTTACTCGAAGCTCTCTAATGGAATATCAGGTTGAAGCTTGTACAAAAACCTGCAATATAAGAGAAATGAAAATTTAGTTTTGCTTCATTTGGAGGGCTAGCGCTCCACGTTTGCAATGACAAATGCTTACATTCTTCAGTGCGGTCAACGGGTTTACTTGGACCTTGCACGCATCTTCCTGCGTTTACGCTTCAACCTCCGCATACGCTTCTTACGCCACTATAAATAAAGTTATAAGAAAAAATACATGTTAGACAAATTCATATACGCATTTTTTGCACAATAGCCAAAGATTCAAGCACGTGTGTATACAGAAATTCACAGCAATGGCGGCTAGTGGAACGAAAATTAATTTTAATTGGAATCGTGCAATTTATACGATATAACAATATATATTGGGAAACACTTTGGCAAATTTAATTGTTTGTAAATTACTTTACTTATATTTTAAGACACTTTTAACCACTTTTATGAAAAATTACCTTAGCTCTCATTTTTCTACTTCACACGAAGACGGTTAAAGACGAAAGAAAGATGAACGGAAGCTCGTTTGCTGAATATAGTGAACAGAATTGTGGTGGAATAGCGATAAACTTATAGAGGTGTAATTTCAAGTAGTAGGCAATTCTCAACACGCATGGTTGCTTTTCATTCACAATGATATAAAGTTTTTAGAAATTATCTTAGATTTTTATAATTTTTTCTTAAGAAAAGCAATTTCGTTTATTTACACTACAGAATGAACGAAAATTTCAAGCATCATATAAATTTTTAAATCTTTACTGACTCGTACTGTACACCACATCGGTTTGTGCAAAACATTCGAATTGCATTGGGTTTAGCCCAGGTTCTTCTTCAATTTGTGGTGGGCGTGTTGATGTTATAACAGTTTTACTCGGCCTCAGAACAACAAATGTGTTTTTTATGAGAAAGTTTTTAAAGCAGAAATACACTCGGTGATTTTCCATTGCATAGTCGTAGTTAACGAGTATGCATGTATGTATTATTTTCCAGATGATTACGGTTATATTTATTATTGATATTATTTTTAACGAAAATCAGTTATGTAAGGCTTTAAAACATGTTCATTACGTATATCTAAAGTAAATCAAAATATATTTTTACCATTAAAATGGTTTATATTTAACTAACTTATAAATAGTTTTGGGAATTTTATAATATACAATTATGTTAAATTTGATTAATACCATGAAGCGTAATCTGCAATCTTCCCCATCTTCACCACATCACATTGTTGCACAACACCCTAATTGCCGAAAAAGAGTTGCTTGCAACCCTTAGTCCCCATGGTGACCAAATGTGTGGTGTAGTGGCGGACAAGCTTTTGAACAGGCGAATTATGAATTCGCCTTGAGCTTTTGGTAAGCAAACAAGATGGCGGCTGCTTACGCTGCATTTACACGTTCATAGAATTAATTTCAATTCATCACATGTATGTGTTGTCAAAAATTAACACAATTTTCTGCACACAAAAACTCACCACCCAAAGCTATGATGAAACATTGCATAGCATTTAAACTAAAAATTGTTTGCAAGGTGGTAGGCAATTTGGAAAAATGTGATTGTATTGATAAAAGAGTATGAGTGTGTACAAATTGAAAGCAATTTTTTGAACATTTTAACCTTAGGTTAGTTTTATCTGAGGTAGTTACACCGAGTCTCATACAAAGTTTTCGGTATTTTGGTACTACTGTATTTTTTGTGTATAACAGTTATCTTTAGTTTCTTTATATGGCAAAACCAATTTTGCAGTATTTGGACTCAGGCTAATCACTGTCTAACGAATTTGTGCTAGTGTAGTATTTTGGTCTCTAATAGTGTATTTTCTTTAGGGACGATTTTACAGTCAACTTTTAGTTAAAAGCATCAACCGGCTCTTGTAAACTGCCTTTCAACTAATCGCTTTCAACGACATTGGTTGGCAGTCAACTTTCGATTCAGGTAATCGCCTCTGTAAACGCCGTGTAACCGAACGAAAGAAAGATGAACGGAAGTTAAAAATCATCACCCGCATGCGCTGAATTGCGCAGCGTTGTGTTTTTCACCACTGGTAGTGTGTGTACAGGAAATTAATTTTAGCAAACATCCGTTAGTATTTATTTGCATTTAAAAACAGTGCCGTATAATTATTGAATTTTAAAACTGCTTTTCATTATATCGTTTCACTATTTTATCTTGTGTATATCTCTCAACTACATATGGGCAATTACTTTTCTTCGTTTCAGACATTTTGTGTGGTATCGAAGCGTTTTCGTAAAAATTACATACACCGATTCACCGGCACCAAGAGCCTCTTTCTTTTCCATCCATGGAGTACGGCACGTCGTGTTTGCGTCTACATTGCAACGAATCAGTTCTTCGACTACTGCGTCATGGCCACTATTCTGTTCAATTGCATTTTTTTAGCCATGACTGAGACTGTGGAAGAGGCTGAGTAAGCATATGCTGGTATAACCTAACTTATTGTACATATTTTCATATCCGCTTCCTTTTTTATACACATCTAAACAGATACATCTTCCTTGCGATTTACTCCATTGAAATGGTGATCAAAATCGTTGCCAAAGGCTTCCTACTCAACAAGTACACGTATCTGCGCAATCCATGGAATTGGCTGGATTTTGTAGTCATCACAAGTGGCTATGCTACTATTGGCATGGAGGTGGGCAATCTAGCCGGTTTGCGTACATTTCGCGTATTACGCGCATTAAAGACTGTTTCAATAATGCCAGGACTAAAGACTATCATCAACGCACTACTGCACTCGTTCCGACAATTGGCCGAGGTTATGACTTTGACCATTTTTTGTTTAATGGTCTTTGCACTATTCGCACTACAAGTGAGTAATAAGGAGAAAAAGCGAAATGTGAAAGGGGTTGGTAATGGTTTGTTTCCCTACAGGTATACATGGGAGAACTAAGAAATAAGTGTGTAAAAAATCTTCCAGACGATTGGGTGAATACCACCGATGTGGAATGGAGGAGGTCTGTGTGAAGATTAATTGCAAGAATTATTTCTTTTTTATTTTATTATTCTTTGTAATTTATAGCTGGATCAACGATACTGACAATTGGCTCTACGACGACGAAGAATTGCCGATGCTGTGTGGCAATTTGACCGGTGCGCGTCACTGCCCTTTTGGTTATACTTGCCTCTGTGTGGGCGAGAACCCAAATCATGGTTATACGAATTTCGATAACTTCATGTGGTCTATGTTGACAACGTTCCAGTTGATAACCTTAGACTATTGGGAGAATGTGTACAATATGGTAATTTTTTATTTTTAATACAACAGACCTTTTTTTAACGATACTTTTTAATTTCAGGTCTTGGCCACATCTGGTCCCATGAGTGTGTCATTTTTTACCGTGGTTGTGTTTTTTGGCTCATTTTATTTAATTAATCTAATGTTAGCCGTAGTTGCATTAAGTTACGAGGAAGAAGCGGAAATAACAAACGAAGTTAGTAATTTGCAAATTAATTAATTTAAAAGAATTTGAATTGGTAAATGATTGGTTTTNGAAGAAGCGGAAATAACAAACGAAGTTAGTAATTTGCAAATTAATTAATTAGAAGAATTTGAATTGGTAAATGATTGGTTTCTGTTACGCTTTTAACTTAGGAACGCAAGAAAGACTTATTGGATCATCGCGATGATTCAACATTTAGCTTCGACCCGTCCGTTTTAAATGTTAAAAAACTTAATAAAAATAACAAAAAGAAAATCGATTCTCGTAAGGGCGTACTGCTGGCTTCGTACAGCAAAAAGAAGACGCGTCGAAAAAAGGCTAAAGGGGGGAAGGATGGTGCCAACAGCAACAACGATAGCAACGGAGATGGCCAAGTAAAGTTCAAAATTACCAATTTTTTATACAGATATATAATTCATTGAATGTTGGTCCANCAACAGCAACAACGATAGCAACGGAGATGGCCAAGTAAAGTTCAAAATTAATCAAAAGTAGCAATTTTTCATACAGATATATAATTAATTGAATGTTGGTTCTATCTTTGTGCAGAATAAAAGTAGATCCGTTACGCCCAGTCCCGGTCCAAGTCCGCGTCACAGCAACGCTGAACGTCCCAAGCAGCTGCAATTGCAACACACAACCACACAGCAGCAGCAGCAGCAGCAACAATTGCTGCCAGCACCCACTGCACAACAACAACAACAACAACAACAAAAACCACAAACACCACAAGCGCTCACACCGAAAGAAGCGCAGACTGCTCGCACACGCATATGCTTCCAAGAAGATGGTGGTAATAAAAATCCAAATATGCTATATCCATCTGATTACAAAGGTCAATTGGTGCCCGGTAGCCGTCAAGCTAGTTCCAATTCGAGTGGTGTCAATCGTGAATCATCTCAAGATGATTCCGGTGTGGTGGACGATCACGAGGAGCAGGAAACGGGCACCGAAATGGTGAATGTATCCACAGTGGAGTTGCCAAATGAGCTGACCTCAGTAACGTTGGCACTGTCGCCGCGTGAGGTACGGCTCATCAAATGCAATGGTAACATTGCACGCATTAAGAAGCATAACATTTATGCGCTGCATCAGGAATTTTCTTCGGAAATTGTGGTGATCGGTAAGTGTAAAATGAAGATGGGAACAGTTAGGAGATAAGAGTGCGAAAACTAAAAATATTATTTTTATTTGAAATTAATTTTTTAGATGATCTTCCGGATCGTAATTGTGATAGATGCATACAATGCTGCGTCAACTATGAAGGCTGGCTGCAGTTTCAAAATTGTCTCTATAAGGTAAGCTTCTGCAAGCAAAGCTTCAGCCTTCCAATAACTTTTTATGTTTTCCAAACTCTTGTAGGTGGTGCGCGATCCACTTTTCGAATTAGCTATCACACTTTGTATAGTATTAAATACGGCATTTTTAGCTATGGAACATCATGGCATGAGTGAGAACTTTCGCAATGCATTAGACGTAGGAAATAAGGTCAGCAGCACTTTAGATCTGAATGCATGCTCGCATAGCGGCTTATATGTATGTATGTATGTATGTTTTTCTTTCACTCTTCAGGTTTTTACATCGATTTTCACATTCGAATGCATCATTAAATTAATGGCACTATCGAAGGATTTTTTTCTATGTGGCTGGAACATATTCGATTTGATAATTGTGACAGCCAGTTTATTAGATATCATATTTGAGTTGGTGGATGGACTAAGCGTGTTGCGGGGCTTGCGTTTGGTGCGTATCAAATCACACTGTTTCAGCAGTAGATATGTACATATGTTTGTAAATATGAAGCTTTTCTAAATGAACTTGTTCCTTACACAACAGCTTCGCGTGCTGAAACTTGCGCAATCTTGGACGACAATGAAGGTCCTGCTCAGCATTATTATATCGACAATAGGTGCTTTGGGTAATCTTACGCTAATTTTAGTTATAGTCATTTATATATTCGCTGTGATCGGCATGCAATTGTTTTCGAAAGATTACACACCAGAAAAATTCGATCCAGACCCAGTGCCAAGGTGAGTGTAATGGACACTTGCGATTCGGTAAAAGTTTCATTCGTATGCAATTTACGTTCATAATTTTCGCAGGTGGAATTTCAACGATTTTTTCCATTCGTTTATGATGATTTTTCGCATATTGTGTGGTGAGTGGATTGAGCCGCTGTGGGATTGCATGCGTGCAGAGGAAGAGGTGCGTATAATATTTTTTCAATGAAAGTCACGATATAAAAAATATTTATGTACCTAATATCTGTCGATTGCAGCAAGGTGCCTCTTCANGTGGATTGAGCCGCTGTGGGATTGCATGCGTGCAGAGGAAGAGGTGCGTAGAATATTTGTTCAATGAAAGTCACGATATAAAAAATATTTATGTACCTAATATCTGTCGATTGCAGCAAGGTGCCTCTTCCTGCTTTGCAATATTTTTGCCAACGCTAGTTATGGGAAATTTCATGGTGCTAAACTTGTTCTTGGCGTTGTTGCTCAACAGTTTCAATTCGGAGGAATTGAAATCGAAAAAAGAGGTAAGTAAAGTATACAAAGTAATTGAATTCCAAAAAAAAAAAAAAATCAACTTAATTGCAAGTAAAAACCATCAGTTCAGATGTGCGCGTTTAATACTTAATTATGTGTTTTCTCCATATATGTATGTATGTATGTGTATGTTTGTGATTTTTATCAAAACAAAAAAAAAAACNTTCTCCATATATGTATGTATGTATGTGTATGTTTGTGATTTTTATCAAAATAAAAAACAAAAAAACAAATATTTATAAGCAACTCCTGAAATTCTAAAATTCACTTAAATCGATTGCAATTGATCAAAAAGATAATATCTTCGTTGTGCTAAAAGTTAATCCTTAAAATCCTTATTTTAAATGCAAAAACAAAAAAGTGTTTGTTAGTTTTAACATGTCTTATTGGTGTTAGTGTGCAAAGAAAAAATTCATATGCAAATAATGCAAGAAAAACGCAAAATAATTTACCGAATTATTTTTGACTAAATTCCGTGATTTAAATTTGTGTAAACGCTTTGCATCGACAATTTTCATTTGCTATTTATATACATATATGTATTTATAGTTTTAGCAGTGTGCGTGTATGTTATTCTCTGCAAAATGAAAGAATTATTATTTTGCCCAACATTTCGTTATATCAAAACAAATCATTTATTTAATTTGGAATTAATTTTGGATGTATGTATGAATGTATGTATTATACATATTAATATTTTTTAAATTTATTTCACTCAATAATTTTTCAATTCTTATTACGTTTTAATGTATTTTATTTCACATGATTAAAATTTTTGNGATTGCAATTGATCAAAAAGATAATATCTTCGTTGTGCTAAAAGTTAATCTTTAAAATCCTTATTTTAAATGCAAAAACAAAAAAGTGTTTGTTAGTTTTAATATGTCTTATTGGTGTTAGTGTGCAAAGAAAAAATTCATATGCAAATAATGCAAGAAAAACGTAAAATAATTTACCGAATTATTTTTAACTAAATTCCGTGATTTAAATTTGTGTAAACGCTTTGCATCGACAATTTTCATTTGCTATTTATATACATATATGTATCTATATATATGTATTTATAGTTTTAGCAGTGTGCGTGTATGTTATTCTCTTTTTAAGTCGCACTTTGGTGTTTAAATAAAAATGTAAAATGAAAGAATTATTATTTTGTCCAACATTTCGTTATATCAAAACAAATCATTTATTTAATTTGGACTTAATTTTGGATGTATGTATGAATGTATGTATTATACATATTAATATTTTTTAAATTTATTTCAGTCAATAATTTTTTTATTCAATTCTTATTACATTTTAATATATTTTATTTCACATGAATAAATTTTTTGTTTTATTTTTGTTTTCTATTTACTTTCATTGTTACATTTTATTTTACTTTCATTATTTTAATTTATTTTATACTATTCTATTTATATCACTTTATTATTATTCTTAATTTAAATTTTTTATTTAGTTTTAAATTTACTTTTGTTATTTTATTTTATTTTATTTTATTTTATTTTATTTTATTTTATTTTATTTTATTTTATTTTATTTTATTTTATTTTATTTTATTTTATTTTATTTTATTTTATTTTATTTTATTTTATTTTGTTTTACTTATTTTATTTAATCAAATTAAATTTAATTTAATTTAATTTAATTTTATTTTATTTTATTTTGTTTTATTTTATTTTATTTTTTTATTTTATTTTATTTTATTTTATTTTATTTTATTTTATTTTATTTTATTTTATTTTATTTTATTTTATTTTGATTTATTTTATTTTATTTTATTTATTATTTTATTTATTATTTTATTTTATTTATTTATTTTATTTTGCTTGTATTATTTTATTTTACTTTATTTATTTTATTTTTTATTTTATGTTATTTTATTTTATTTTATTTTGACGGCCGATGTGGTGTAGTGGTAAGCAGTGCGCGCTTTCACTCATCAACACCTGGGTTCAAGCCCTGTCAAAGCAACATCGCAAACAATTTAGAAAAAGGTTTTTTCTTAACAGCGGTCGTCCCTCGGCAGGCAATGACAAACCTCCGAGTGTATTTCTGCCATGAAAAACAGCTTCTCCTAAAAATACAATCGCCGTTCGGAGTCGGCGTAAAACTGTAGGTCCCTCTGATTTATGTGACAACATCAAGGCGCACGCCACAAGTCGGAGGAGAGGCTCGGCCAAACTCTAACATATGTGTACGCGCCAATCTATTATTACTATTAATTTTATTTTACTTATTTTTTTATTTTTATTTTATTTATTAAATTTTATTTTACTTTTATTTTATTGAATTTTAATTTTTTTCAAATATGTTAATGATTAACTTGAACATTAAACACTTACATAAGTCACATTTACATACAAAAGAGTTGTGTTGAATTTGTGTGAATGAAAACGTCCAACAACTTTTTTGTCAAAATGAGATTATTTTTATTAATTCTAAGATAAAATATGCCATTTGTGATATAATTATAAAACAGTTATTTTTACATATGCATAACTATATACATATACACATCAACACATTTCCAAGCTTTCTGCTGATTTAAAACACACTTAGTTAGACACTTAAAACATTAATGCAAAATACTTAAATATTACAAACATAACACTTTCTTAATTACAGTAGAAGTTGCAAAAGCATACACAATTACACTATAAAGTTTAACTTTTCGAAAGGTGTTTCAATATTTCCGAGGAAAAAACAGCTTTGTAGGTGAAAATAATGACCAATTCTTCACCAATTATATAAAGCAAACAGTACCATTGGATCATCTCTATAGAATCAAAATTACTTAAACAGTGTGAAATGGTATTTAAAAAAAGAACTTAAATATTCTGAAATCTCGATTCCTTTTCTAATTTTGTCGGCCTGGACGAAGTTACGCCAGTTGTTCATACCAAGCGTAGGCAGGCCCTTTAGACGCTTCATCCTTCCTTAGTATTCGACGGCGTCCTATCTTTCACTGTCCTTCCAGGTATGCCCAGTCGAAACATATTTTCACCGTAGCCTCGTCATCCATGCGTATAGCATGTCGGGGCCAGCGCAGTCACTGTATTCTTATGCGCTTAACTGTGTACGTGTCGTTAAAAAGCTGGGGGAGATTCTGTAACCAGTTAGCGACAATTTTGGGATCGCTATCGCACTTATTGACGCATGGTATGAATGTTGTTGCGTCAGAAAGTGTCATAGCTATCCGAAAATTTCCGCTAACTGGCTACAGAATCTCCCCCCTGGTAGGTTTCGTCATTTAATATTTTGGTACGCGTCGTCCGCGCAAACAGGCCATAGATCTTTCGTAGAATAGTTCGCTCGACACCTCCAAAAGGCGTCTCAGCTTTGTTCGACATCGTCGATGATTCTGCGCCATATAAAGGAACGGCCATGATGAGAGACTTGCAGAGCGTAGTTTTTGTTCGTCGAGAGATGGCTGTGCTTTTCGATTCTGGCTTAGTTGAAAGTAGCACCTGGGATCTCCAGGCTGACATTATTTGTGATGATTATGCTGGATCCTATTTAGACAAAGTCCTTCACAACTTTAAAGATCTGACTGCCCACAGTGACGAGTGCCCCAAAACTATTGTCCCTAAGGTTCTCGAGCGGTCGGATGTGTACTATGAGTCCAGGAACCTGCCTATTGAAGTTTTAAGACTACAATAACGGCTATCTTTCGAGCAAATATGAGATGTGGAATCGCATTCAGAGCTTCAGTAAGTGGGGAGCATATAGCGCCACACTCCTTTGTAACCTTTGGAGTTGTTAAAGCGTCGTTGGCGACTTGAGGGTAGGCTACCGGGCAAAGGCTCCGTGTGGTAAAATCAGAGGCACAATGGCCGTTTAAATCAAGTGAACTATCCTAGGTGAGAAACCCCAAGATGCACCAATCGCCAGATCTTCGGTTATTTTTCGAAGGTGAACAGAACTTTAGCCTGAAAGTGCCTTGGAAGCCAAGATTTCCGTCAACGACTCAATGGGCGTCATGCATAAAAAGTCAACTTAAGCTCCGACTCGATTTTCAGTACAAATCCTTGAGCTTGACCTAACTCCATCAATGCATAAATTTAGCCTGAGTTTTAGCTCACATTTTATGCATGAGGCCCAATATTCTCACAGCAGTAGATTTAAGGAGACTACTTAGAGTTTCCTGAAGACATGCCAATCTGTAAAAGAGAATATGTAGAATATGAAATTTTCGAGTTTTATTTTTGAATAAAATCAATGGACATGACCGCATCCTCGAATTTGTCCTTCTTACTTTATTATCTAAAAAAAAAAAATTAAAAGGGCATTTTCAAAACCTTTTCGTCCTTATGAACCAAAATTAATTTTTTTTTTAATTCTACAGAATTTTCACCTTCATTTGGTACCCATTGTCTATATTGCACCGAATTTTTGAAAGTATTTTTTTTTTACTAATTATATCTTTGAAATTTCAAGTCCTTATAAATAAAATCCTGACGTCTGAGAGAAATACTAAACTTCGCTTTGTTTCGTCTGTTTACATTTTTTTGTCGCACGGTGTAAACAATCGAATTGAGATCATTTAAATCCATCGTAAGGCAACTGAAATTGGAAAAAAATAACCAAAATATTGAAACACCTCAAAGTCACTGCTGAACCTTTTTTACAAACTTATAAACTACTTAATTATTCAACATAACCTATAACTCTATATATTTCTATTGTCTTCCTCTCTTCGAATCGTGTTTTCCCGCTCAACTGTTGATAACTTACGAATGATTCTGCATAACTCTGTGCCTCTAAAACTAAACTAAAACCAAACCAAACATAAAACAAAAAACTTACCCAAAACTGTGTTTTATTTCTATTCCTGTGTGTGTTTGTGTGCCGAAAATGACTTTTTAAACTTAAATGATATGGATCTGAAAATAATATACATATGTACACTAAATTAAAAAAAAAATTAAAAAAAAATTAAAATTACTTTTGGAAAATATATTTGCACACGATTATAAAATTGATTGTTTTCCTACCAAAATTTTGCATTAATTTATTTAATTTTTTTTATTGGCATAAATGTTTTAAATAAAATTATAAACTATGTATTTATGTACAACAATAACAACAACAACCAAATATGCACCAATGTGTTCAACTAAAAAAATATGAAACTATGTACTCCCGCCGCTGCGTTTGTGTTGAAATGAAACTATGAACTATATATTGAACTATGTATTTTTACACCTTTAAACCGCAAATGTTTAAAACCACATTCACTTAATAACAAAAAACCAAAAAAATATATATATATTTATGTCACAAAATAAACAGATTTTCAAAAAGAAGGTAATTTCCTAAGCTTTAAATTGTTTCAAATCCTATTTACCGAATATATTTTACTCTTTGAAGAACCAAAAAAAAAAACATTTACATAATTTTAGAGTAGTGCTCCCCCGAAAACTAACTAAAATTTCTCAAAAATTGCCTGCTTTTTAAGTTTTGCTCATTGGTTTTGTTGTTTAAATTTTCAAAAGCTCTAAATGTTAAGTGTTATTTTCTTAAAATTAAAAAAAATTATTAAAAATATATTTGAATGTTTTTATCGTATAGCATGCCAGTTAAGTAAATTAGTATTTTTCACACTCAAATAAGACTCGAATTGGCGCGTTCTGTAGCTTAGCAAGACCTCCAAAAAATGTTACCAAAAAATTTTAGATTTAGTGTATTCGTTTCAGTAGTGAAAGTTCAATGCGAAATTGGCGCCAAACAAGCATTTAAAATTCTCAATCTATTTTTTTTTACAATTCCTAAGCTTCTCTTGAAACGCATTCTATTTAAAATTTTCCTATGGCTAAAACTTCTTTCTCCATCCGAATTTCATAGGAAGTCGGCGAGGAGTCGAAATTGGCGCGCAGCATCGAACGCGTACGCGATCTGATACGCAAGAAGCGACAGGAACGCAAAGAGCGTAAGGAACGCAAATATGCGACAAAGTTCCAACAAATCGTTATGGAGGCGCAGCAGGCGGCCGCGAAGGTGATCGAAAAGCCGAGCTTAATAACGGAAACTAAACTGCATAGGCTTAGTTATCAAGTGAGTTTCCCACTAACGGTACATTTATTTCGCTTTCTCTCCTACATTACCTACCTTACCTGCCTGTTTTTCGTTCTTCCCTCGTCTACAGGAATCCATGAATCGTCCGGTGTCCGGTTCGGATTTCGGCTTTCAGATTCCACTCAAGGACACCTTACACACCATCGTTGACGGCGTAGAGAGCGAACACGAGCTATCCGAACTACAATTACAACAACACCAGCAGCAGCAGCAGCAGCAACACCACCTACAGTCAACAACACAACAGCAGCAACAACTCACACAACAACAAATACAACATCACATGCAGTTGCAACAGCAAGCGCCCTCCTTCGATGGCATCACGACAACAACTAGCTCCTGCCAATTAGACAATAATAGCCGCAACGATTACAATACACTCTATCCGCAGGCGGAACGTCGTCTGCTGCATCAAGTGTCTTCCGGTTTTGGTACGCAACACAACGATTCGCGCGACGAGCCAACATACACCGAGTCCATTGAGTTGCGGCTCATGGGCCAGTACAATTCGACTGATACCGATCCGTATGCGAATGATCAGCGCAGCGGTTCGTTTATGCGTGGCGATTCGCTGCAGGACACATCGTCACGGCGTTACTGCAGCGAGGAGCATGATGAGGCCTACTTGCAGTATCAGAAGTCACTGTTGACGCGTTCGCCCAGCTACCGCAAGTCATTGGATCGCCTATCGCAGTCGAGCGACCAGTCGCAACGTTCGCTGATACCTTCGCGTAGCCTGAAGTCTGATGATGACTTGCATTTAAGTGTACGTCGACATTCGAGCGGCCATTCGCTGAATACCATCTCCATGGAACATGAGGAGCTACTTTCAGGTCAGGGCAATTTGCGCGATGAGCTGCTGAATTGCGAGCACAAAGAGCTTTTTCAATTTCTGCAAGACGATGCGGATAATAGCAATAATTATTTCAGCGAAACCGTTGGATATGGCTCGGCAATTGTCGATGCCGACACAGATTCGTTGATTGTTGATGTGCGAAAAGATGAACGCAAACCATCGACGAGCAGCATCAAGTCGAACTTGAGCTATATTTCCAACTCGATATTGCAGCAGATCGAGCAGCGNGTTGGATATGGCTCGGCAATTGTCGATGCCGACACAGATTCGTTGATTGTAGATGCGCGAAAAGATGAACGCAAACCATCGACAAGCAGCATCAAGTCGAACTTGAGCTATATTTCCAACTCGATATTGCAGCAGATCGAGCAGCATCGCAATGGCAGTCATGCGTCCAGCAATGGCAACGGGCATGACAATGAAGCGCTGCCACTGGTGGAGCATTCCGAGTTCGACAACATCATACAGAGCTTCGAGAAGGAGTTGGAAGAGATAAAGCGCTCAACCACGTCACTGGAGCGACGCCTGTCCACACTCTCAGAGCCGTCGCCTGCTGCCGATGAAGCCAACAAAGCCATACTCGATCATATCGCTGTCATTACAGGCGCCTCCGAGCGCTCTGCAGCCGATGAAGTTGTACACCCACTCAACCCGTATGACAGTTACGATCTGTCGACTGTGCCGCGTCGTCAGCATTCGCTGCTCACCAGCACCGATCGCAATTCGGTGAAGATTAAACGTCGCAGCTTGGAGAAGCAGCGCAAAATCGACGAAGACTTTAGCATATCAAATGAAATACGCAAAATCTGTGATCAAATTCATGCCCCATTCGTGACCATCGAATCGATGGCGGTGGCGGCAACGGTTACAGCGGCCGCTAAATCGCCGTTCGCACGCCATAAGAGCGATCAATTAAGCGCACAATTCGATCGCTTTAAGCGCCTATCGCTCATCGAACGTGTCGATGAAGTACCTGAAGAGGAAAAGCCCATATCAACGCTGCGCATGGAGTCGGAGAAACTGCCACGCAAGTGCCTAACCACAGACGCCATCCGACTGGACAGCCTATCGCTGAAGAGCACAAACTCATATGAGAATTTGCTAATACAAAAGCAACAACTGAGTCGTCAGCAGAGTAATCAACGTGACGGCGCCTCTTTGGCTTCGTCGGGTGTGGCGGTACCACCAACGCCACCGACATCACTCAAGTCGCAGCTCGAACCGCCAACACTAGCACAAATATCCTCAATTAAGACCACGCCGCCGCTAGCGGCACTCACTGAGCACCAACAGCATTACCATGCCTCGAAAATACATGACCCACCTCCACCACCACTACTACAAAAGCCACTTATTCCGTCAGCAACAAGAACCACCATTTCCACCACTATCACCACAACCACAACCTCGTCCATCCGCCCAAGGGCTGCCGGCGATGTTAGCGATATGCGCGCCAAACGCTTCGCCGAGCATCCACAATCGACACTAGACAAAGCCGCTTCCTTTCAATCCGCACGCACCGAATCGCATAGTTCGGGCGCAGGCGGTATTGCCGACACCAGCTCGGTACTGGCACTGGGATACAGCGTACCGGGTGCACGCTCATCTGCAGGCGGTGCTATGGTAACGGAGACGGCCGAACCAACACAAAAGTCGGCCTTCTCGCGGCTGACCGAAAAACCATGGCATTGTCTGGTCTCCTACGTAGACGATCTCACTGTAGGTGGGAGGCGTAACTCGCAGGGAGCATACAATGACCCCATGACTTTTCCAAGTTTCGGACAAACGAAACCACCGAAAGTGCCAGATGATTGCTTTCCGCAGAAGTGTTATGATCAGTAAGTATAATTAGATATAAAAACGATATGATATTTAAAATATACTGGATCAGGAGGTATTTACTGTGGCTACATTACATAAAAAGCTGCAGAAAGGGTGTGACAAAATACCTAGTTTGTGTAGATGACTCTTCAGTCTCTTCAGATTCTCCTTTGAGAGTTTTATTATTAGGAATTTAAATTTGTTTCAACTATGTATATCGTCCAAATAAGCACTTTGCCTGTGCTTCTTCCTGGACTCGTCGTTGGTTGTCTTTCCAGAACCATTGCCTAGCTGTTATTCCTTCAGAAGTTTTCGGCCGTTTCATGTACATATCATTGCAGGGACATGACTTTTCAGAAAAGGCTGCTTTGTTATACTTCTTCTTCTTCTTCTTAATTGGCGCTGTAACCGCCTAAGCGATTTTGGCCGAGTCCAAAACAGCACGCCAGTCATTTCTCTTCTGTGCTAACTGACGCCAATTGAAAATGCCAAGTGAAGCCAAGTCCTTCTCCACCTGGTCTTTCCAACGCAGAGGAGGCCTTCCTCTTCCTCTGTTACCAGATATTTTTAAACATTAAAAAAAATATACTATAATAAGAAAGTTGGAAATTATAGTTTTTAATACTCAAAAATAAGAAAAATACAAAAAAGTGCACACAAGCTAATAAGGCAAATTTGTAAGAAATTGTTAGATGTGTGTAAGTAAACGTTTTATTTTAATAGTAAAAGGTTAAAGTAGCAGACTGAAATCTGAAAGTAGAAATTTGATGCGAAAATATTAAAAATTCAAAGAAATTCACATAAGTAAGTACATAGACATCAATAGCATTAGCACGGGGCATGCCAAAGAGAGTATTTATGTATGTATGAAAGTTCAAGAGAATACATACATACATATTTGTAGGCGAAAATATTTCAATAAAATTAGATGATTTTTTTTTTTTTAATAAAGTTTACAACGTAGCATTTTTTTAATTGAGCAGCAGTGATGAGCAGCTCACGTGATGTCTACACCGTACTACTTACCGTGATATGGCACGCAATGGGCGCAAAGCTCTCAATGTACGTAGCGAACGCAAAACCTTGAGATTTTCATTCTCTTCGATGAGCAGCGAGAACACGGAAACCTGTGCGGTAGAAATTTTAATGTGCTTCCATTCTACTTTCTATGCATTGCGCTTCATAAGACGCCCATCTACTTACGAAGACTATAATGAAATCCAATATTGTCCAAAAACTTGTGAAATATTTGGAAAACCCCAACGCTAGCCACTTTAAGACCATTTCAATGACGAAGATGAGACAGAATGAGAAATTCGTCCAGTAGAGTACACGCTTCAGCGTTTTATTGCTATCCAAGTAGATGTCCTCGAAGCAGAGGGTGATGCTCGATGCAAATATGAGCACTAGCACAAACCACTCAAAGGCTGGAGTATCGACAACCGCCAAGACAGCCGTCCTTATGCGTGTCCATTGTTTGGCGCTGTTCGTGTCCATGCACGACATGAACCATGGACAGCGAAAATAGAAGCTGAAATGAGATGGAATTTTAAGTATTGCAAATGTGATTGGAGAAAAAAAGGTTCGGCAAACGAGCTCTATTTAATTTTGCTAGAGAATGCTCAGACAGCGGAAAGGACATATTTTTAATATCGAAAAATATAGAACTAGTTTCTCAGCTTCCCACTATCTTTACTTCTCACAGAGAAATGCCGCGAACGATAGCGTTTGAGAAGAGATTCAATATAGAGCAAATAGTGCAACGAAGCAGCCTTTTCTAAAAATAATAATATAATATATAATATATAATAATAAAACTCTCAAAGGAGAATCTGAAGAGACTGAAGAGTCATCTACACAAACTAGGCTATTTTGTCACACCCTTTCTGCCGCTTTTAGTGTAATGTAGCCTAATCAAAATTCTGTGTATATTTTTATCTAACTAAGTCTATTTTAAATTACCATAAGTATGTGTCTTCATATCCTTTTTATATCTAATTATACTTACTGATCGTAACACTTCTGCGGAAAGCAATCATCTGGCACTTTCGGTGGTTTCGTTTGTCCGAAACTTGGAAAAGTCATGGGGTCATTGTATGCTCCCTGCGAGTTACGCCTCCCACCTACAGTGAGATCGTCTACGTAGGAGACCAGACAATGCCATGGTTTTTCGGTCAGCCGCGAGAAGGCCGACTTTTGTGTTGGTTCGGCCGTCTCCGTTACCATAGCACCGCCTGCAGATGAGCGTGCACCCGGTACGCTGTATCCCAGTGCCAGTACCGAGCTGGTGTCGGCAATACCGCCTGCGCCCGAACTATGCGATTCGGTGCGTGCGGATTGAAAGGAAGCGGCTTTGTCTAGTGTCGATTGTGGATGCTCGGCGAAGCGTTTGGCGCGCATATCGCTAACATCGCCGGCAGCCCTTGGGCGGATGGACGCGGTTGTGGTTGTGGTGATAGTGGTGGAGATGGTGGTTCTTGTTGCTGACGGAATAAGTGGTTTTTGTAGTAGTGGTGGTGGAGGTGGGTCATGTATTTTCGAGGCATGGTAATGCTGTTGGTGCTCAGTGAGTGCCGCTAGCGGCGGCGTGGTCTTAATTGAGGATATTTGTGCTAGTGTTGGCGGTTCGAGCTGCGACTTGAGTGATGTCGGTGGCGTTGGTGGTACCGCCACACCCGACGAAGTCAAAGAGGCGCCGTCACGTTGATTACTCTGCTGACGACTCAGTTGTTGCTTTTGTATTAGCAAATTCTCATATGAGTTTGTGCTCTTCAGCGATAGGCTGTCCAGTCGGATGGCGTCTGTGGTTAGGCACTTGCGTGGCAGTTTCTCCGACTCCATGCGCAGCGTTGATATGGGCTTCTCCTCTTCAGGTACTTCATCGACACGTTCGATGAGCGATAGGCGCTTGAAGCGATCGAATTGTGCGCTTAATTGATCGCTCTTATGGCGTGCGAACGGCGATTTAGCGGCCGCTGTAACCGTAGCCGCCACCGCCATCGATTCGATGGTCACGAATGGGGCATGAATTTGATCACAGATTTTGCGTATTTCATTTGATATGCTAAAGTCTTCGTCGATTTTGCGCTGCTTCTCCAAGCTGCGACGTTTAATCTTTACCGAATTGCGATCGGTGCTGGTGAGCAGCGAATGCTGACGGCGCGGCACAGTCGACAGATCGTAACTGTCATACGGGTTGAGTGGGTGTACAACTTCATCGGCTGCAGAGCGCTCAGAGGCACCTGTAATGACAGCGATATGATCGAGTATGGCTTTATTGGCTTCATCGGCAGCAGGCGACGGCTCTGAGAGTGTGGACAGGCGTCGCTCCAGTGACGTGGTTGAGCGCTTTATCTCTTCCAATTCCTTCTCGAAGCTCTGTATGATGTTGTCGAACTCGGAATGCTCCACCAGTGGCAGCGCTTCATTGTCATGCCCGTTGCCATTGCTGGACGCATGACTGCCATTGCGACGCTGCTCGATCTGCTGCAATATCGAGTTGGAAATATAGCTCAAGTTTGACTTGATGCTGCTCGTCGATGGCTTGCGTTCATCTTTTCGCGCATCTACAATCAACGAATCTGTGTCGGCATCGACAATTGCCGAGCCATATCCAACGGTTTCGCTGAAATAATTATTGCTATTATCCGCATCGTCTTGCAGAAATTGAAAAAGCTCTTTGTGCTCGCAATTCAGCAGCTCATCGCGCAAATTGCCCTGACCTGAAAGTAGCTCCTCATGTTCCATGGAGATGGTATTCAGCGAATGGCCGCTCGAATGTCGACGTACACTTAAATGCAAGTCATCATCAGACTTCAGGCTACGCGAAGGTATCAGCGAACGTTGCGACTGGTCGCTCGACTGCGATAGGCGATCCAATGACTTGCGGTAGCTGGGCGAACGCGTCAACAGTGATTTCTGATACTGCAAGTAGGCCTCATCATGCTCCTCGCTGCAGTAACGCCGTGACGATGTGTCCTGCAGCGAATCGCCGCGCATAAACGAACCGCTGCGCTGATCATTCGCATACGGATCGGTATCAGTCGAATTGTACTGGCCCATGAGCCGCAACTCAATGGACTCGGTGTATGTTGGCTCGTCGCGCGAATCGTTGTGTTGCGTACCAAAACCGGAAGACACTTGATGCAGCAGACGACGTTCCGCCTGCGGGTATAGTGTATTGTAATCGTTGCGGCTATTATTGTCTAATTGGCAGGAGCTAGTTGTTGTCGTGATGCCATCGAATGAGGGCGCTTGCTGTTGCAACTGCATGTGATGTTGTATTTGTTGTTGTGTGAGTTGTTGCTGCTGTTGCTGCTGTTGCAACTCTGTTGTTGACTGTAGGTGGTGTTGCTGCTGCTGCTGCAGCTGCTGGTGTTGTTGTAATTGTAGTTCGGACAGCTCGTGTTCGCTCTCTACGCCGTCAACGATGGTGTGTAAGGTGTCCTTGAGTGGAATCTGAAAGCCGAAATCCGAACCGGACACCGGACGATTCATGGATTCCTGTAGACGAGGGAAAAACGAAAAACAGACAGGTAAGGTAGATAATGTAGGAGAGAAAGCGAAATAAATGTACCGTTAGTGGGAAACTCACGTGATAACTAAGCCTATGCAGTTTAGTTTCCGTTATTAAGCTCGGCTTTTCGATCACCTTCGCGGCCGCCTGCTGCGCCTCCATAACGATTTGTTGGAACTTTGTCGCATATTTGCGTTCCTTACGCTCTTTGCGTTCCTGTCGCTTCTTGCGTATCAGATCGCGTACGCGTTCGATGCTGCGCGCCAATTTCGACTCTTCGCCGACTTCCTATGAAATTCGGATGGAGAAAGAAGTTTTAGACATAGGAAAATTTTGAATAGAATGCGTTTCAAGAGAAGCTTAGGAATCGTAAAAAAATAGATTGAGAAT